TATATGTATGTACATAATTATGTTCTATATTTTCAGACTTCAGCAGACGGAAATGAGGCAGAATCAAACTATGATGTTACTAATGAACAATTTGATTTGGATAGATCAAAACGAAGCGGAAGAGGCTAGTAAGTTTGTTTTCTTAGTGCAGGTTTTTATTGCCTTTACTTAATTTGTGTTACTTTAAGTATGCGTGGACAAACGCAATCTCAGTATCTGAATTTTGGTAAGCCAGAAGAGGACGGCAAAGCAGAAGCAGAGGCTAATGAACATGGTTCCAGAACCACAGTTTGTACGAAACTATACAAATAATTTAATTCAAATTCACAATTTTGTTACTTTATATCTTAGCTGGAAGCCACGGCATGGGACAGGCGCAGAGTCAATTTTCAATGGGAGATTGTACCGAGTGTGCAACACCCCCAATTTACGGTGAGTGCTCGTATGATATTTCTTATTCGTAACTATTTTCTTATTTGCAACTATCTTGTGCATTTAGAATATCCCGCTGGCTCCCCGGATCCATTGACTTTAATAAGTGGTAGGCCAGATGCTTTAATAAGTGCACCAGGTACTGGCGCTGGTAGTCAACAACCTGGCGGTATATATGGCCCGAGTGGAACTAGTGCAGTTGGTGGTCCTGGAGCTGCTGGAGCATTAAGACCTGGTGGAGTTGGGGGACCTGGTGGTGTACATCCTGGTGGAAGAGGTGGTGGTCGGCTTGATGGTGCGTTAAGACCTAGTGCAGGACTCCAGCCTGGAGCAGGATATGCGCCAGGTATTGCAGGTCAACCTACCGGACCCGGTGGCTTACCAGGAAGAGACGGTGTTCAGCCAGGCGGACCGTTAAGGCCTAGCGCTGGCGTGCAACCAGGAGGTGGTTATGTGCCCGGCTATGGTTCGCAAATTTCTGGACCCGGAGGTGCAGGCATTGGAGGTGGTATTCAGCCCGGTGCTGCATTGAGACCTGGCGCTGGACTACAACCTGGCACATCTTACGGACCTGCTGCTGGCCAACAAACTGGTCCGGGTGGTATAGGAGTGGGAGGGTTACGACCCAGCGCTGGATTACAACCCGGAACAGTCGGTCAACCAGGTGGTGGATATGGACTTGGACAAATTGGCGGACCGGGTGCAGTAGGAACAGGTGGAGCTTTACGGCCTGGAGAAGCTGGTGCTGCCCCGGTTGGTGGCGGTTATGGGCCAGGTGTTGGCCGACAGCCTCTTGGTGCTGATGGTGTTGGTGCGCAACCCAGCGGTGGTTTAAGACCCGGTGGTGTATATAGGCAAGAAGCTGGTGGCCAGCCTATTGGACCAGGAGGACTGGTAGGTGGAGATGTTCCAGTAGGAGGTGATATAAGAACTGGTGCTGGATTTCAGCCTGGTGGTGCTTATGGACCAACGGCAGGTTATCCTACGGGAACAGATGGTAGAGGAGTGGGCGGAGCCGGTGCTGATCTCAGACCAGGGGCACTTATACAAGGCGGCCCGCAACTAAGTGGACAACCAGGTGCCTCCGGTGTTCTACAACCAAGTTCCGGTTTTCGACCTGGAGTTGGGGCTCAACCTGAGGGAACCTATGGGCCACATACAAGTCGCCAACCTACTGGACCCGGTGCGGTAGGCGGTGGTGGTGTACAGCCAGGTGGATACGGCCCTGGTGGAGGTTTCCAACCAGGTGCGCGCTTAAGACCCGGTCAAGGTTACGAAGCTGCTGGCGTTCAACCCGGATATGACGGAGTATACAGACCAGTTGCGGCCGGAGCAGTTGATACTAGTGGAATTTATAGACCTTCAGAGCGTGCGGGTGGTCAACCTGGAACTCAAGCGTATGGACCCGGTACAATTGGACAGCAAGCTGGACCAGGCGCAGGTGCATATCCCGGCCATGCTTATGCTCCCAGTGGTGTTTATGGGCCTGGTGAAGCTGGTGCTCCCTCTGGACCTGGGGGTAGATATGGATATGGTCATCCAGGTGCTGGTATACAAGCGGGCGCAGGCGTTCATCCAGGATTCGGTGCCCAGCCCGGTGCTGGCTTTCAACCAGGTGCAGGTCTACAACCAGGGGCAGGTGTTCATCCAGGAGTCGGTTATCAACCTGGCGCAGGTCTACAACCAGGCGCAGGCGTACAACCAGGAGTCGGCTATCACCCTGGCGCGGGTCTACAACCAGGTGCTGGTCTTCAACCGGGCGCAGGCGTACAACCTGGAGCCGGTTATCAACCTGGCGCTGGTCTGCAACCAGGTGCTGG